TTTCGAAATGGCTAAGTATGTTTCATAAGTTAACTGTATTGTGAAAGAAGTATTTCTGGTGCTTTTCGTTGGAGTATATATATATATATATATATAATATACAGACTTATTATTCAAACCTTCCTTGATCCACTTCTTTCGATTTTAAATAATCCTAAACGTTAGATAATTTTCATGACGAGATGTGACCACAGTAGCACTCAGGTATGCATTTGATAAATCTACTCTATTTACGACCAATATAACTTGTTCCACATTAACAATTAAACATATAACCGCACATTGAGATAGTTCAAAGCAGTGATTGTTTTCCATCACAAGAATTATTGTTCAAGATTATTTGCTAATCCAAAAGAACTGTTTGAAAATGTGTTTAGATCACAAATTTGCACAATTTAAACCTGATCTCTTGTTTTTATCAAGGTTTTAACACCCATTATCTAATTCACTATATATATATATATATATATATATATATATATATATATATATATATATATATATATATATATATATATATATATATAGATAAATAGATAGATAGATAGATAGATAGATAGATAGATAGATAGATAGATAGATAGATAGATAGATAGATAGATAGATAGATAGATAGATAGATAGATAGATAGATAGATAGATAGATAGATAGATAGATAGATAGATAGATAGATAGATAGATAGATAGATAGATAGATAGATAGATAGATAGATAGATAGATAGATAGATAGATAGATAGATAGATAGATAGATAGATAGATAGATAGATAGATAGATAGATAGATAGATAGATAGATAGATAGATAGATAGATAGATAGATAGATAGATAGATAGATAGATAGATAGATAGATAGATAGATAGATAGATAGATAGATAGATAGATAGATAGATAGATAGATAGATAGATAGATAGATAGATAGATAGATAGATAGATAGATAGATAGATAGATAGATAGATAGATAGATAGATAGATAGATAGATAGATAGATAGATAGATAGATAGATAGATAGATAGATAGATAGATAGATAGATAGATAGATAGATAGATAGATAGATAGATAGATAGATAGATAGATAGATAGATAGATAGATAGATAGATAGATAGATAGATAGATAGATAGATAGATAGATAGATAGATAGATAGATAGATAGATAGATAGATAGATAGATAGATAGATAGATAGATAGATAGATAGATTTAGTTTAACTTTCAAAAGTTCACTACTATAGAATAGTTATTGATATTGATTATCTATTTACACATATGATTTTTATTAGTTTATGTCATGTGATATATTGAAATAACAATTTTCTAAAGTACTACAAGTTTTTGACTTAGTAACACAATATTAATGCTAAGTGGTAAGATCTCATATTATATAATTGAATAATAACATGGTTTCAAATCTGATAGCAGGTATTCAGATTATCTAATGGTTCATCATCAACTTAGAATTGAATAAGTTTCAAGTTTATATTAATTGATAGAAAAGAAAATGTTGTCCTCTAATTGAAGTGAATTTCTTGACATTCTATTAAGAAGGCATGATACAATGAAAGTTCAATAAATATATCAAATTCACAAATGATTTCACCGTTATTATACTTTACACAGAATAATGCCTCAGATGAGTTAAAACATCTTCCGGTAGTTACTAGATATATCTTATTATTTCCAACTATTTAACATGCTTTAGCTACCATCTTTGACTATCCTTATGATAAACTTTGTGGAAATTTTACGCTTGAATAATTTACACATATTCTTACAATCTATTAAAATTGATGTGTTTCTAAGTTGTTAAAAATCTATGGAAACAATGTCGTTAGTTATAAGGTGAATGCTTCATGAATGATTTACAATTCTTTATTAGGTGTCTTGTCAGATATATGATACTTTCTATTTAACAGTGTTTATAGGCTAATCCAAATAACAATTATGTAAATGATTCCCATTTACCTCATATTACATTTTCAGTTGATATAGTAATACGAACGAACAGTTATTAGGACGCGTAGTATCTTGAGTTCGATAATAGAGATACACAAATTCCTAACCAGCTACTGAATGAGATGATTAAAATGGGAAAGGACATTTATTGGAATAAACCGATTCACAAGTATAAACGCTCATATATATAACAGTATTGTTATATCCTTATCTCACTTTATAAATATTAATTGAGATAGGATAAAATGTAAAATCATATTTAGGTTCAGTGTGATATCTTTAATTTGAATATGCAGTGTAATATTCATTTAGCGTAACTTTCCAGCCAATTATTTTATCATAAAATTCTCAGTATTTTCAGTTACACTTGATATTCATTGACTAACCATCAAATATCACAACTCGTTTGTTTTTTTCTTATTTGGAGGGTAAATTATGTCTTCATATTGTCATCTATTGTGTATCTTCTATCTGCCACTTAGTGCCAATTTCAATTTCCTGTTTTTGATGTTAACTTTCTACATTTATAGCAGACAGTAGTATTAGGTTAAATGGTCTTGTGTGAATTATTTCACGTTGAATATGATATTCATTATAGATTGACTTACTTCAAGATGAGTGATTGAAATTTTACTAAAAAGTTGTAAATTTAATCATATCATGAGTAAAGCAATCGTTATTAAAACAGTTGTATGAGAATTGAACAATGTCACAAGTTAGTTGAAATTAGAAATGTAAACCTTTAGTTATCAATTTAACAGTTTCCAGAATAAACTCTCTCTTTTGCTATGAAATCTAAAGATCAGAATGGGTTTTGTGGAGAGTTTTAGAAATTTCACGGGTTGAAATCATTAGTCGATTGAAGCTAGACGACCATGGAAAACCTGGGAGCACTGGACGGCCGTTTCGTCCTAGCATAGGACTCCTCAGCAGTGCGCATCCACGATCCCGCACACCGCAGGATTCGAACCCAGGACCTACTGGCTTCGCGCGTGAGCACTTAACCGATAGACCACTGAGCCGGCATCCAACAGTGTTAATGTCTAATTTCAACCAATCCACGAAGTTGCGCCACCGTACACCATTGTCTTCAGTGCTTCCAGGTTTTCCATGGTGGTCTAGCTTCAATCGACTCATGATTTCAACCCGTGAAATCTAAAGATCTTGTAATCGATCCCTGATATGTTCGTAGGTAGATTACCATTGAAGTATCATATACGACGATGAAATATCCGTCTAATATTCTCTTATTTTCACTAGCTTTACTATTTAAATACTTGATATTCAACCAATGGGTTATGTGTATCATCTTCTTCCTCTTGCATTGTGTACATCTTCAGTTTCCTCATGTTTCATATGTTATTTTCCGGCAGTTATATCAACGTTTCTCTCTCTCTCTCTCTCTGTATAAATATAAGCTTTGTCATTACTCTGTGTTGTTTATTGATCGTTTCTACCATTTATCTTGTACTTTATGTTTCATTTTTTGTTTGTGTGGAATATATACATGTGTAAACATGTATGAATATTTATGAATTAGAATGTACATATTATAACTCTATATACTTGTAGTTAAACTATAATGTCAAGTATATTTTACCATATATAATCACTTGTTGTCGTATTAGATAATATTTACTTATATATACTTAAACTATATGGATTATTTATTCTGTTTTTGTTCTCCTTTTTTTAACATTTATATTGATTTTAATTATGTACAAATATTTTATTGATTTCTACATTGATGTTGTCCAATTCTTTTCATTCTTCCAAGAATATTAAAGCTGTATATTTCAACCGGTCTGTTGTGAGATAACAACTCACTGAAAACAATGGTGTACGGTGGCGCAACTTCGTGGATTGGTTGAAGTTAGACATTAACACCGTTGGATGCCGGCCAGCTCAGTGGTCTAGTGGTTAAGTGCTCGCGCGCGAAGCCAGTAGGTCCTGGGTTTGAACTTCGCGTGGTGCAGGATCGTGGATGCGCACTGCTGAGGAGTCCTATGCTAGGACGAAACGGCCGTCCAGTGCTTCCAGGTTTTCAATGGTGGTCTAGCTTCAGCTCACTCATGATTTCAACCTGTGAAATTTCTGTATATTTTTGTAGTAATAATAATAATAATGGTAATAGTAACGGTAATAAACAGCAATAATAACAGTGATTTAAACACTTATTATATCATATTATTGTGACCTTATGCATTCAAGTACAAACTGTCTATTTTTTCTTTCATAGAAAATTGTAGTTTATTGTGCCATTGATAAATAATTGTATGAAACAGAATTCTTAATTGTACTTTATATCCCTTTAGGAAAGTTTTCTATTCATAAAGTTTATATTAGAAAGCGAGAGGAAATGTTGTGTTAGGACTTTATGACCTTGAGAGTTTGAAAGAAAAAAAAAACATTTTAAGATTGGCAATCAATTCAATAATAAAAATCATTTAATTAGGATTATGTAAACAATTTCTTGGAAAGATTTCTAACGATCTTTTGGATTGATTGATTGATTGAAGTATGTTCAGTATTTTCTTAGATTCAGAAAACGTTTTAGATGACTTTATCAAGAACACATTGATTTATGCCACTTTACATTTGTAACCTTTTTCTATTGTTGTACTCTGAGATTTAATTCATTCTAATATTTGATTATCCAATTGTGTGATAAGAGAAAACGTTTACAGTAGTTCATCAGACAGACATGAACATGTAAAGAATATTAATAGCTTTGTTTAAATGAGTAATTCTCACACTGACTATACTAATGTCCAAACATATCATTACGGTGTGGCTTGAAAATACTATGTGGCCTCTCCAACTTTACTTGGCATATTATCTCAAGAAACTTACCAGTATTATAGTTCTCAATATCTAGATCATGGACATTTGGATTACGCCATTTTTAAAATATATGGATTGAAGTAACATAGTGAATATTTCAATGATTAGTACTTGTATATGTGCTATATAATATTCAACTTATTGTACATTGATTTGTTTATATTACTGTTTGTTTTTGTTTTTCTATATGTTCACAGGTCTTAAACTTTCACTCACTCCGTAAAACAGCTGACTTGAATAAAGCTTCCCGTATAAAAAACATACTTATATTTGTTGTGTATAAAAATAAAATTCTCATAAACATTCTGATACAAAATTACAAAATTCGGTCAATTCAGTTATATCGTGATTATGTTTATTTCCAGTTTCAACTTATCAACTCTACGTTAGTGCACTACACTTGAACAGCCCACTTTCATATATTTATCTGTATCTTTTATTTTCTGTTATATAATATAAACTACTTAACTCTAAACGAGTAGTTTGTTTTTTGGAGACTATTTTATTTTTCAGATAGACATTCAGATTCGTTTGACTGATTTTTGACTTTTTGGTTTGCTATTGTATAACATATATATATATAATTTTTTATATTTGGATTTTACTGAGCTGCATATTCTTATGCATATTACATAGAATTGTACACATTTGAATTACTATATTATAAAGAGTTATTATCAGTTCTAGTTGTTTTTACTTTGTCATATCTGGTTTACATATTTTGGGTGGAGAAAAACTTGTGTTGATACATTGTCTCCTGTTTATATTCTCCGCTTATATTGCTATCATGAAATATCTGTCAATTTGAACCTCTGTACCCCACCTTCGTCAATTCTATATGATAATACTTTGTAGACACATCCAGTGTAAGAAAGTTAACACTTAGTGACACTTGGTTATGATCGCACATTTTATATACAGTTAACTGGAGTAGGAAATGTGAATTGTTGCTGGTTGTAAAATCAATGATCTCAAGGTAATGCAAACATTATGATGGTTGCCCTGAGTCCTATTCTTAGCGGGGTAGTGTATCCACACCTGAGGAGTGCAGTACTCGAACGAAGTATTCATTCAGTGACCCTTGGTTTTCTAGTGGTCCTCTAGCTATATCTAATCTCTCATATACTTCATGATCGAGGTCTGTCGTTTGATTTTAGTCTTTCTTATTGTGAATCAGTTTAAGCCGACTAAAAAGCATCGTATTCAAACGTCGATGGGGTTGTGGACGAGCACTGATGTGGGGTCCTATGCTAGAATGAAACAACTGTTCAGTCATCCCAGGTTTGACTGAGATTAGTCAGTGATTCAAACTGCAATGTCCAACAGTATCCAAAAACCGCTTATACTGGTATTTAATTGGTCGTTATCTACATATTATTGTAATAGGACGACTATCTTCTAGCCATTGGATTAATTGATTCAGAGTTTCCAACACTTCTCTAAATACGGTTTGGGCAACTACATCAAAACGTTTAGTTCAAAATTGAGTAAACGAAGCCTGTACAGCATTATCACGTCCCACCATAATAATAATAATAATCCACATCACGAAGTGTAGGAAACTGTCGATATTGTGATGAATGGTCTAAAAATTATCTACAGTGTAAGTATTTCAAATCAATAATTCTAATAGTCGGACAGTTCTTTACTCACACTGACCTGTCTGACGATCGAGTTCCTCGCATCGATGTAGTAGTAGTAATGATGAAAGTTATTACTACAGATTTATTCAATACTTTAAATTTCGTAACAGTAAGGAAAGTAAGCAAAGTGTTTCCAACAGTCAATATCCGCCGATTGTCTATTACTTTAGCTGCTAAGATTTTTTTCACCCACCGGAGATATTCATTGAGAGAATATAGTCAACTCTCTTCTCTACAAACAATAAACTAGGAGAGAATATGCCAAAAAACTATAATGTTTCTTTTGGTATTGTTTTGCTTGTATCTTCCCATTGAGGTTTAAGACTGAAATCAACCAGTCTGTTATTTGCATATGTGGTCAATTGCAGTCTTAAACCTCAATGGGAAGATACAAGCAATACAATACCAAGTGAATTTAAATTCACTTTATTGCACAAGCAAGTGGCTATCAGGACTCCGTAGCTGAGTGGATAATGCAATGGCGTTTGAAGCGAATGGTACTGGGTTTGAGTCCCAGAGTGAACATCAACTCTGAGATGCAGGTACATCCAGCTGACGAGTTCCAAATGGGACGAAACGCGCGTCAAACTTGATTCCATTGCTAGCCACTATCCATCTTTGCTTATATAGTGTTTCTGTTAAAGTCTTCTAGTATATACCATTGTAAGAAGTTGTAAGGTTTATGGTTAGCAAATCGAAAAATAGAAAGTTTTGTTGAACTATATGCACAGTAAAAAAATAAATATTCTTAACTTTTATGCAGTCGATTGACGTAGATAGCATCCAATTACTCACAATATTTCATAACATATTTAGGACAGTAAGAGTTATCAGTTTGTTGGAGACACTGAGTCAAGTGAAATTTATCTAAACTGCACAACTAGATGGTCCAGCATTAGGAAAGTGTTTAATGAAAAAAGTGGACTGAAGAATATGACAATTCCATATTAATAGTAGTAATATTGGTAGTATATGTAATAAGGGTTGTGACAGTATTAAATTAGTAAGTCAAATATGTCTCTGGAGTTAATGGTTTATAGGAACTGACAGTATTTTGAAAGACATATCATTGAAATCATCATGTATTTTGGATCTTTTAATAGTAGCCAATAAACCATAACATTATTGCTCAGTGTTGTATCAGAAATTTTAAATATATATCACAAACTATAAGATGTATTGCATAAATGTTTTGTATTTTATTTGCCTAATCAGATGAGTTATGCATCTGAATAATCAAACGGTACTAATATCATTCGTTTAACTTAATGGTGTTCTGCTATATTCGTGATTTTTGTAAAAAAAAGTACAGCAATAGAATTGATCAATCCATTTATAGTATTATATTTGAGTACATAATAGAAACTACTTTAAAAATGAGACTGAGTAAAATACATTGAGATACTAATAGATTAAAAAATTAACTGAATTAGTAACTAAAAGCATGACTCTTATCATCTGTTCCAATAATAATTGTGATCAAATAATTAAAACTAATTATCATTATTATTTCCAGATCATATGTCACATTAAACTGTTAAAAGGAAGTTAGTTAGTCACATAGTCACATAGTTTGCTTATTTGTTTGCAAATCATAAGAAAAACACATAATCACAAAACGTCTTAAATAATGTTTGCCTACTTACAAGTAGTCAAAATGATATAGCTAAAATATCAATCATAGGCTTTTGAATCAAAAAATTTCAAAATGAAGCAAAAATGAATATTAAATAAATTTTAAGAAGCGTCTTGTTAGTAGATCATGGACGATAACTCAATCAAACAATAAAGCCAAAGCTGTAGATAAATTTCAATTTTAACATTAAATCAGTATGATTACTTCAGAATATATATGGTTACTAATAACGTTTTTCTAAATCAAGAAAATATATTCCATAATGTTTAACTTTGACTAGGTTAAAACTGGCAACCTGAAACCCCTGGATAACTGTTTCGTCCCATCAATGGGTCTTTTCACCAACATATACCTAGGATCTTATGTCAAATATACTTTATTTATATCACAAAGTAAGAGATCCGTCAGTTTATATTGTCCAGTTTCATTCAATTCGTGATATTAGACGACCATGATTCAGTATTATCAGTGATATTTGTCTTGGCCAATATCTGAAACACTCATATCTATTATCCAATAACACTTATAAATATTCATTTATACAATTCTTTATTGATTTCTTATATTTGTTATCATTATGATCTTTTATGAAATTAAAAATCAATGGGAACCATTTAGAATTAAGAACACCTCTGAAGTTATTATTCATTATCTGATTTCATACTGGTCACAGTATTGATTTGAAATAAAATAGCTTTAATTCTGGATTGAAATTTAAAGTGGATGTGAGTAGCTTAACGGTAACATTTTACACTATAAAGCTGAATGATATGGGTTGAAATTCTACAGGAAATAATAGTTATCTCAAGATTTTCAGGTAAACATTACTAACGAGTTCCAACTAACATGAAACTTGGGTCAAGTAGAGCATCTAGTCAACTACCTCTAATCCATCGGTGTTAATGTCTAACTTGAACCAATCCACGAAGTTGCGCCACCGTACACCATTGTCTTCAGTGAGTTGTTATCTCACAACAGACCTGGTTGAACTCCACTGGTAACGGCTTCTCACTAGAACTCCAGGAGTTTTTTCTTCAAGTCAGTCACTAGTGAGCAGTTGATTATTATCAGAATGGGTTTTGTGGACTCCTCGTCCATGGTGGTTTAGCATCAATCTAATCATGATTTCAACCTATGAAGTTTCTAAAAACTCTCCACAAAACCCATTCTGATTAAGATAATTCACGACAATATGTGTAGTACCACATTAAGTAGTTTGAGGTAATCGACAGGAAACCCCAAAACAAGATTCAGTTCTAGTTGGCACTTTTTGATGAAGTGTAGTCGGAATTTAAGGGAACTGATACTCTATGCAGGATTTGTATCCATGTAACCCAGACCCACTCTCTAGAATATTACCATTAAGCTACTCAGGCTTCAACTGACCTTTTACATCAATGAGTCGTTTACATTGATTACTGCTTACGTATCATGAAGAATGCCAATTAACTCGAGATCAAACATGGTTTCCTGAAGACGAATTTTAACCACTTAACAGTTCAACATAAATCACTTAGACTAATAGTTAAATTGAAACTTAATTGACAGAATCTAAGAAACACTAAAAGATTAGAAAAAGGTGAATTCGATCATTCAATTCATATAGTAGTATATGTTTGAATTCACATCTCCTTTTATTGCAAATCTTATTTATCATAATCTCAAAAAAGATCATTATCAAATTCAATTGACTTCATAAGAGTAGAGATTAGAAAACTTTTACAATCAAATTCACTCTTCTGATATTTAAATCACTTGATAAATTTAATCATATTCACTTCCAGTACATAAACAATCTTACTTATATAAGCAAAGATGGATAGTAACTAACAGTGGAATCTAGGACGCGCGTTTCGTCTTATTTGAGACTCATCAGCTAGATGTATCTGCATCTCGGAGTTGATGTTCATATATACCAATAACAGACTGATCAATTGCAGCCCTAAACATCAATGGGAAGATTCAAGTAAACAATATTAAGTGAATTTAATCAAGAATATAATAATTATATAAAATTAACATTAGAAGAATGAGTTTTGACAATATTTTAAAGATCTCAAAGTATTTGAAGTGTTTTTTTGTCTAGACAAAAGGTACTTTATGTGTTAAGGGGAATATATAAAGTAGTGTGAATGAGGAGAGATTGAGAAGAGAAGAACAAATGAAAAAGTGAAATGATAACCTAGTAAACCCACACAATGTGTTTACATTTATTAAGGATAGCAATCGTTAACAATCAGATTAAAACAATCTCGCAAAGGAAAAAGCAAGATCCTTAAATGCATCATGGAGAAGACCAACCCAATCACACTTGACAGTGAAACTCTGGAAGATGTAGAATCCTTCACGTACCTGGGAAGCATCATCGATGAACAAGGAGGATCAGATGCAGACGTAAAGGA